GTGATGACGACACATCAGACAAAATAGGGTGTGGTAATGAAAACGAACAAGTAGTATGTAAAGGGGAAATAAGAACACATGACGTCTCCAAGGTTATAGATGAGGCMTGCAGTGCTGAATTGAAATCTGACWGGATTCATCCGTTGCTTTCCTCGCAGCAGGACAACAGGGWTCGGGAATGTTTAAGCATCATCAAAGAAWCAGAAGACATGGRTATTGATTGGATATCTCAGGGTGCAAGACCAAAGACAATAGGTTTACAGTCTTTACAAGATGATTATATCGTTTCTGGTGTCGACTCTTCATTYCTTGCMCGACATTCGAATGATTCCTCTTTAACTCGATCWGTGTACTCYCGGACTCAAGTAACTAACAATCCAATACCTTTTTTGTCACTCCCTGTCTGTAGCAATACAAGAGCAGGTGTTACTTCTTTTGAGAAAACATGGCCCATTTGCGATGAAAGGTTGTTACCAGATCAGGACAATTCGWCATCTTTCAGTGAGAAACCTAAGCTGCCTTACCAAGGTCTGCCTTGTGGGACACAAAAGGAACCTGTCGTGACCTTTGACACTGATATTTATTCTTCCGAAGAKCAAACGAAAAAGGAAAACTCTAGAACAATCTCTAGAATCTCTCACTCTAGTGATTTTGGTACAACAAAATCGGAGAGAGCAGAAGGAAAGGACAGCATTAAATGTGATTTGCTTTTGCAAGGAAAAGGAATCGCTGATGCTTCTGCTTCTGATGGTGGTTATGATGATGATGGTCATGGTCATGGTCATGGTTTTGGTGATGTTGGTAATGTAGRTGATGGTGATGATGTTGACGAGGCCATTGGAAATGCCGATACTGGTGGTGATGATCAAATGAAACAGCAATCTCAAGTTGTATTTAACAGCATTCACGAAGTACGATCCCCCAATACATTTGGCTTACCTCCTCTCTTAAACAGCAAACACTTGGATGAAAATATCGATTTGCCCCAAACACAAGATTCAAGTAGTGTATCTGGTTCATACGAAACGGCAGACAACTCGTTGGAATCTCTTGAGTCTTTAGAACATCATATTAATRRATCCAWRATGACTTGGAGTCAAATGAGCGAAAGCATGCTGGACGACGTTGGAGACGAAGAACACCTGGACGAGGAATTGGAATCTGAGAATCAAGAAGAACCAGAGAGAGRGATACTATTGGCTGCCAGCAGTGAAGGGAATGAGGRGGAGAATAAAAACRGAAAKGAAACAGAARGGAAATGCGAAGTTGGGAAAAATAAGAATTCTATGGAAAGTAGAGGAAGTTTGGTGCGTCTTTTCARTTGGGCAAAGAAATTGGGAAGAAAGGAAAGAGAAACAAGGGAAGCAGACGCAGAAAAGGGAGACACTTTTCATTCACAAAGGAAGGAGGTAAATACTCAGGCCGCTGAACAAATGACATCGCTRCCAGCTCAACGCGTATCCGCTGATRTTTGTGATGCGAGAGAACGAGAATTACGCATAGCGCGGSAACGGGAACGCAAACAAAAGCTCGAAAAAGAGCTAGAAGAAATCAACARACGACTAGAAGMGTCACAAAAAGAAAAGGCGCAAAKCGCCACGTCGTCACCCCAACCGGCACGCCTTCCTGTCCARGAATCTATAAACGAATGGGCGTGTGATCATTAYAAGAGAAAATGCGAAATCAAGTTTCCCTGTTGTAAGGATTTTTATCCGTGTCATCGGTGCCATAATAACTCTGATAACTGCGAGAAAGATGATATGAAAGCACTTCACGGTACGCACCTTCGTTGCTCGGTTTGTCTAACGGAACAAGAAATAACAGAAAATAGTCACCATTGTATAAACTGTAATACCCAACTTTCCGAATACTTTTGCGGTATCTGTAAACACTTCACGGGTAACGAGAAGACGCCTTACCACTGTTCGCCATGCGGGATATGCCGTATCCATAGAGACAGATCGTTTCATTGTGACGTATGCAAAGTATGTCTTGACGAACGGCTGAGAAATAACCATAAATGTAGACCTGACTCCGGTCATGATGAATGCTGTATTTGTCTGGAGGTGAGTGTTTTTACTATTGCGCAATCTCCGTTAGATAATGGTCGGTATACTCTAGCAATTTCGTCGCGCGACGTGAGTGGCGATTTTATCGCAATCAATTCGCGGGAATTGTGAGCATCCTCGAAACGTAATGCAGGGTTCGTGCTACTCCTTGAAATCCTTGAAAAGTCCTTGAATTGAAAACACGTTTTTAAGGGCGCTTGAAAAGCTCTTGAAAATAGAGAAATCGCCAAAACTCCTGGAATACTCCTTGAATTTAGTACAAACTTAATGTTGTTCCTAACTTACCTTTTAAGATAAATAACGATTAAAATTGATAGAAGAGTTTCCGTTTGCTTGTTTACTAGTTGGTTGCGTGTCATGCTCGTTTTTTATCTAAGCTTGTGGCCCCGGCTGAATTAGCTGAACTTTAACAATTAAACAAAGTTTAAAACCACGTTCTCATACAAAAAACTTTGTCCTTGAAAATAGAATTTTTGTGCTTGAAAAGTGCTTAAAAAGTCCTTGAATTTTGTAACGAGAATGTAGCACGAACCCTGTAATGTAACTTCGCGGTGAATTATCATGCTTAAAAACACTTTGCATTTTTCATTGTCTCTCGAAAATGTAGCGTTGCAATTTGCCGAATTGAGCTCAGCGACTTGCAACATATTTGGCTGCTGTTTGGAAAGAAATGAAAAATGTACGCTTGCGCTCTTTAAAAATATGCCTTAAAATTGCGAAAAACTTGTTTGCTGTAGGGATGATACACTGTGCAATGGCGTTGCCAGTTGCTGCAATCCGTTGCGAGAAGTAGAACTGAGTTTTACTGTGTGCAACCCTACGCGCAACATCAAAATTGTGAGAGAATCGCTGTTACACTGTCAATTCTCCAGCGACTTGTCTCACAAGGGCGTTAATATTTGTTTCTTCTTTACAGGATGCTTTTGGAGGATGTCAAATCCTGCCTTGTTCACACAAAGTTCACCGCGAATGCGCTATTGCTATGTTAAAGAATGGAGTGTAAGTATCTTGATATATCTTACGTGAACAATCACTGGGACAGACTACGAGGCCCTTATTATTATGTTAGTGGTGTTTATATCCACATGAATTCAACCCAGACGTTTGGGTCACTGAGGTCGCAGAAACAAAGAAGTACCCTTTATTTTTTATGAGGATTTTATATCCGCAAGAATTCTGAGATACCACCTAATTCTTCGTTTGCACATGACGTCATAGTCGCCATGTTTGATGAATTTAACAAAAGAACTGTCAATGAATTCTTTTGATATATGTCATCGCAACATGGCCGCCGTGTCTTTTGTTATTTCACTCCCTTGGGAATGATTGTAAACCAGCAATACCCTTGGCATTTCTGTGGCCGCAGAAGCAAAACAAGCCTTCATTCCACATTACAT